AAGTGAGTGACATGCAGGCTAGAAGGTAGTTCAATTAGAAAGATCTAGAATTGGTTGAATGGCTAAACCCAAGTAGTCATTAATGATTCACTGTCAACTTGGGAAGGTCTCCAAGGAAGCATTCTAGAGATCTGTGCTTGGTCCTGTGCTGTCTGCCATTTTTATCAGTGACTTGAATAACAACATAAATGGTATGTTTAATAAATTTGCAGATGACCCAAACCTAAGGCTAATATTAGCTACCATACTGGATGACAGAGTCACATTCTAAAAAGAGCCTGACAAGCTAGACAATGTGGGCTGAATCAAAGAGGATGGAATTTGGTAGAGATATATGCAGTTATACATCTACATTCAAAAAATGAGTCAACTTCATAGGCAGAAAATGGGGGAGGCATGACTGACTATGTGTTCTTCTTAAGATCTGAGGGGTTTGGTGATACAAAGATCAGTATGACCCAACACATTGCAATCTTAGGCTGTACTGAGAGGCCCAGTGTTGTCATAAGAAGGTGACAGGTCACATTTGAAGTATCTGGATCTGGGTGTCGTATTTTAGGAAGGCTATTGATGATCAGTTGCTGGAACTAGGGATGTTTGGCCTACATAAGACTTAAGGAGGACATGAAAGCTCTCCTCAACCACCTCAACGTGTGTCACATGTAACAAGGATTCGATTTGTTCTGGGAGGTCCCTGACGGCAGATCTAGAAGCAACAGTGAAGAGGCAAATTTAGGCCCAACAGAAGGAAAACTCCCTAACAATCAGAGCTACCCCAAAGTGTTAAGAGGGAGCTTGGGGAGGTAGTGGATTCTCCCTTGAAGTTTTTAAGCAAAGGCTGCATGACCAAGTATATGGTAGAAGAGGATTCTTTTTCAAGTGTGGCTTATACTAGATGGCCTGAAGTTCCTTCCAACTCTGGAATTTTGTTTTTGATGGCATCTGTGTGCTCTCTTACTAACATCTCTTCACTTATCTTGTGTTTTCACTCCCTATTGTATACTTGTATATTCTTTTTGAAGACTACTATCCTTGGAAGAGAAAGCAAACTAAACACTGAATTGCCTATCTTTTCCTTGTCTATTACTGTCCCATGTACCCCCAGGGTAGTTTATGAACTACTTTTGTCTCTCCAAGTTTCTCCAGGGCAAGGACCCCATGAATATATCTAATATCTCCCACCACCAGTGCCTGACCCACAGAGAAGCTCGTCAGCTGACTGGATTAACCAGTGAAGGAGTTAGTCTGGAAGGGAAAATCTTCATATTGTTAGCTTCCTTCCCACTTTGATATGAGGTGTTACAAATTACCCAAACAGAATAGAACACTCAATTTCAAAGGAAATTCAGAATAACTTTCTCCTGGTCTATAAAATGAGTTCAACTAGGTGACCTCTAAGGTCCCTGCCCACATCTAAATCCTAAACTTCCAAATTATTAGAGCTATATGGAAATAGAATAGATTGATTTGGAGGTAGTGAGTTCTCCAATCACTGGAAGTCTTCAAGGAGAAAATGAATTCACTTGTCAAGGATGCTGAATAGAAAATTCTTACTTCAGGTAAGGCTTGGGTTAGATGGCTTCTTAAATGTATTCCAGCTATGATTTTATGAGGCATTTTAAACAAGGGGATTCTGGTCCATAGCTTTACACCTTGTGCAGGATTCCGGAATCCTGGCTATGATGACACTTCCTGTAGGAATGAGCATCTTTCTTCAACGGTCACTATGGTTACAGGAACCTTTTATCCTGAAAGTGATTACTGAACTTGCTTGTGGATCCTCAAAGACTGTGACACATAATCTCCAGGGGGTGATGCATACTATGGCTGGTCTTTGTGAGGGTACTCTTGTAACAGACAAAGGCAATATTCATGACTGTCTTGGACAGCTTATGAATTTATGAAATAAATTTAAGCTTGAATTTTAGTTGCTTTTTTTCTCCTTTCCTTCAAAGGACTATGTACCAATCATCACAATTATACTTCATTTGATGTACTTTCACACATAACTACCAATGATAAATGTTCAAGATGTTTTTCTCTATAGCAGCCACATCTTGGAGACTGCCTTCTTTTCCCATTCTGGCTCTCAGAAAGATGATTCCAGGATTCTGGCTGAGCTGACATCTGCTTGAGACTGCCGGAAGACTGGTAAATATGTGTTTACTGAAAGGATCCTTAAGCCAGACTGAAATTCTTCCAAGCCTTAGTCTTTGTTGAGTTGCTGTGGTCAAAAGAATTCATCAGAAGTAATCAGCCTCTCTGACTTTAGACTGGACAACAAACAAAAAATCAGTCATTTACCTACCTTGAAATATTTCCAGCCTGGTAACTCTACTAGAGCTTTTATTCAACAAATAGAGCATTTCAAGACCCAGAGTTATATCTCTATAAGATAGTATAGCACTAAACCAGAATTTTAGGATAAAATTTAAACTTTTTTTCACATGCATAAGAATTGCACCATATGCACTCTTACAAAAGCAATCATTTTCCAAAACACAGTCATCACTGGCCCAGAACAAATTTGGTCTGAGAAACAATACTAGGAATCTTTACTTCCAAACACCTACAAATTTTTTAAATGTAAAGATTCTTTTCTTTCCAAAGGTTCTCTCTCCTTCCTGACTCTATGCCTCCTGAGCACAGCCGTGAGGACATGGAGAGAATTTACATAATTTATCTATATTTTATGATCACTAGAGTTAAGATTAGAAAACACTGTTGTGTTTTAAAATGAAATCACTTTCATTTTACAGAGGAGAAAACTTAGGCCCACAGAAGGAAGATGTCTTCCTATTTTCCATCAATCGCAGGCCTAGAACTAAAACCCAGATCTCCTAACTTCCCTAGCTCAGGGATCTGTGCATTACAAGAAAGTAGATAGTTCGCAGTTGCTGGGAGGAAATACTACTTAAGAAAAAGAGTACGGGATTTGCATTCAAGAGATGTTCACATTCCAGCTCTGCCATTTGCTGTGTTGACCTTGCACAAGTCAACTCTCTCCCTGAGCCTGTTTCCTTATCTGTAAAATCAGAAAACTGGATCTCTAAATCCTTTCCAGATACAGATCCATAGAACCTACGATCCTAAGACATGACACTTCAAGATGGGGGGGTTGGGGTGAGGAGGGAGGGGAACTGCAGAGGATCATAAGACTTACAGCTAGAAAAAAATTCTACAACAATCCTTTCATTTTTCTACTAAGGAATGTGCAACCATACAGGTTAAATGACATAAGGTCACATGTGAAATGTAGGTCTTCTCCAAATACAGGCAGAGCGGGAAAGCCTTAGAGACAGTATAAAGACAGAGAGGCGGGGTCTCCCCACCTGAACCGAGCCACCCTGCGGATAAAGCAGGCTCTGCTGGGGCTCTGCTCCGGCTCTGCCCGGACTCCCTCAGCTTGATCACTACAAGCCCCAAACCCTGAAGATGTGCCCGGACCCCCGAGTCTGTCACGGCCCTGGGGAGGGCCGGGGGGCAGGTCCCGTCCTCTCTCCGTGCCTCAGTTTCCCGCGTTAAACGAGAAAGGGGTGCTGGACGATCCCTTCCTCCCTTCCCCCCACAACCTCCGAGGGTGGGGGTGGGGGCCGCCCTGCGGCTGAGGAGGAAACGGAGGCGAAGAGGGAGCAGGGGGAGGGCTGGCTCCGAGGCGAGACCGGCCCACGACGACAACGGCTCTGGCGAGATCCGCGGCCCCCTCCCCCAGCCCCGGCTCCGGCCGGGCCCGGCGGTAAGGGCAGGCCCTGCGGGCTCGGCCCGAGACTGTCTGCCCGCCTGCCGCCCCGGCCCCGCGTCGGCTCCAGCCCGCCACGCGGCCTCCCCCTCCCAGCGCCCCGCTCCGCTGCCCTCGGGCGGCCCGGGCGCCGGGCCTCACCACCTCCGCTCTGGCCTCCGGCCCCGTCCGCGGCCGCGCGCTACACGAACGAACGAACGAACGAACGAACGCACAAACGAACAAACGAACAAACAACTGTCCCCGCCTCCGCGCAGGCGCGAAAGGGCAGGGGGCGGGGTGGCGACGCGCACGCGCGGTCCTCGCGCTTAAGCATCAAGACGAAGCAGCCGCTGACCGAATCATCGATCCCTCCGGCTCTCTTAGCTAGACGGGCGGGAGGGCTACCACGTGTGTGGGGTGTGTGGAGGCGGGGGAGTGTGATTGTTGAAATTTTTCCTCCGCGACTAGATTGAGAGTTTCTCAACTCTGCAACTCCCCCACAAAGCTCACTCGATTCCCAAGTAAATCTTAATGCGACACCTGCCACACCCTTGAAAACAAAGTATTTCGACCCGCTCCGATCACGGTCTCTTTAAAAGGCATGGGTGGGCGGCTCACGTGATGCCTTCAGGCCTGCGCTCATCTCCCCCTATCTGTTCCACGCTGTCATTGGTCCCAGTACTTTAATCATCCGGGCCTTAGGCGCTTGGGAAGAAGAGGCGTGCCGGGATTGGTCGGTACAGACGGAGGGCGGGACTTTCGCCTGCCTGATTGACAGGCGGGGTGGGGCTCCTCGATTGTCTGCAGATGTGGGGGTAGGGGTAGCGGGGGGCACCGCCCTCGAATGGCACGTGGGCGGGGCTGAGGCTTTGTGATGGACGCCGCGGCCCGGGCCTGTGATTGGTCGGCAGAACTGGGCCGGGGCGCTGGGATTGGGCGGCGGCCTGCTGAGGGGGTGGAGGACAAGACGGGTGGGGCGGGTGAGGCAGGAGACGAGCAGTGTGCTCGAGACCGCGGACGGGAGCGGACAAAAGCGGCGGTTGCGGCAGCGGCGGCGGCGGCGGCGGCGGCGGCAGCACATGGTCTGCGGCGGGGCGCGCGCCGTGGCCGTTACTGCAACGTTTGCGGGTGCTGGGGGCGGTTGGGCGCGCGCTCCGCACCAGGCGACCCCGCCGGCCCCGGGGCTCCCGGGGCTCCCGTGACTCGGGCCCGCCGCGCCCAGAGGAGGCCGAGGCCGCAGAGGCAACTAGGAGCCTGCGCCTTCGAGGGGGAGGAGGCGGAGCCCCCGCCGAAGGCGCCGCGTGCAGCTGCCCAGGGAGGCGGGAACTAGAGCCGCGGAGGCTAGAGCTCCATCTTTCCGGACCCTCCCAATTCTGGGGCGCTCACCCCCTGCCTCCTGGATTCTGCTCCCCCCCCCAAGGGAAGCTCGCTCTCAGCTTTTCAAGACCGGAAGTTCCCTGCACCAAGACCAGCAGGGACCCTGCCCACAGATTCTTAGGGAGCCTTTCCCCTGGCCTCCGAGACTCAGGGACCCCCCCCCATCCAGCATTCTTAGGAAGTGCATACGTTCTGGCCTCACTGGGAAGAACATCCGAGACTCTACAGGAGAGTTTGCCGTGGGCTCCTCCCAAAGATTGTCAGGGAGCCCTGCCACCACTAGAAGGCTTCCCGGAAGGCAGGTCGTGGCCTCGAGTCTGGAGAAGAGCATTGGTTAAATCCCGCAGAGCTTGGAGGCTGACTCTTGAACCCTGACCTGCACTGGCCGCATCAAAGGATAATTAAATAATAAGCACATCCTATTCTAGAACTCTCTCTGAGCTCCCCCAACCCCCATCGAATGGTGGCTGGATCTGCTGGCCAGGGAACCAGAAGAGTGGTTCTGAATATTCCCCAGAGCATCCTGAAAAGTTGGTCCTCTGTCAGTACGGATTGATTGTCTCTTTGGAGGCCTCTTTCAATGTCTTTCCGAAATTAACTCTTAAGAAGAACTGTGGCACCCCAACTAGAATTTTTTTTGGTGTAGAAAACATTAGGATAAGTGGTTAAAAGCATAAGTCTTCTGGGTGGGCCGTAGAGACCCACATGTTTAGATTTTGACAAGACTAGCAATCATGGCATTTACTAATTACAGCAGTCTGAATCGAGCTCAGCTGACATTTGAATATCTACATACAAATTCGTAAGTATCAAGGGGGTGCTTCCTAAAGTCACCCGTAGCAGCGTTCCTATTAATGCTGGAGCCATATTTCATTTGACATTTGAAATTTCACAGGTGTAGCAGGTTTCATCAAGCCATGGGGAGTCTGCAGAAGAAAAGGGATCAGTGAAGTGTTGGGTAGTTGATGCAGAAGAAGCCTGGACTTCACTTAGTGGCTCAAGCTGTTCTACAGTGTTGATCTAACAAGGAGAAGCTTTGATTGAAGGCATTTTATATATGGAGCTGTTGCATGGAAGTGTTTAACCAAAACTCACCAAGGGCTGGCTGAGCTGTGGATCCCCACAAGGGAGGATTTTCTAGCGTCAACTGTTGTTTCTTTTAGTGGGAGCAGCCCTTTCCCCTATCCCCCCCCCCCCAAAAAAAGAAGTGATTATATGATTATTGGAATGAGTGTATTAAAGAAAGGAAACCATTTTGGAGAAGAACTTTCATTGATAATTCATAAGAAGAATAGTCTTATTTCTGGTGGTACTCAGAATAGGTTTTCCTTGCCCTGGGAGTTGGCAGATCTGCTGAATAAGCAGTATATTCTTGCCAGGCAATAGTAGCACCCATTTAAATCACATATTTAAACAATGTTGTATCAAGACTGTCCTCTGATGCAGTCCAGAAATCTCCAAGTGGGACACAGCTATTCACAAAATGATTTGCTCTGTTCTTCACTTACGTGCCTAGAAAGAATACCATCCCTCTTCTAGAGTCTTGAGGCCCTGTTAGTATGTTGTCTTTGTCCTTCTGTTGGGATTTTTCTATCTGATTTAACCAGAATGAGGGAATTGCCTTAGCACTTGTTCAGTGTGTTATTTAGCAAGGTAAGTATTCTCAGGTTCTGTGGTCAGTGAGTTGAAGAGCAGTGTTTCCGAGTCACTCTTGATGTTATTTGGTGAGTTATCCTCCATCTGGATGAAAATAGGAGTTTCTAGTTCCGAATTCACTGACACATCGCCAGGGCACTGAGTGTTGGTAGAAAAAGACAGGCTGTCTTACTCTCTTAAAGTTCCTTGGAAGAGTTTTACAGGAAATGTGAGTTGGCCTATTTTTCCCCCGGGGAGGGAGTAAGATATTTAGGAAACCGTCATCTCCACTGCTGCTGCTGCAGCATTGATAATAAGATCGAGGTTATTTGTTTTGGTCCTGGGAAAGTACTCTCTTGCTACTTTCAGAAATGACTTAAAGACAGTCTACACTCAAGGCCCAAAGTAGCTGGATCTGATGAAGCTCTGATTGGGAGTCAGGCAAGGGAAGGAAGAGAAGGGAAATGCAACAAATTTGTCCGTTTTACTGCTTGTAAACTACTCTTTTTGGTTTTAACTTTTATCTAAAAGTCTGTGGATGAAAGACAAAAATAATTTTTGAGGAGGTTTGGGGATTTTCAATGGGTTTCGGATCATACCAGTTTGCAGCTATCCTCTTTTAACACATACATTTTAGGGCTGAACATGTTTTGGAAGCTGTGATGGTTGCTGTTTACATTACTTCTCTCAAGTTTGAGGAAAGTTATAAGACTCTGAGAATAGGAAAGAGTCTTATAGGTCACTTAGTCTAACCCTTGCCTTTCCATCTCTCATTTTCTCTCCAGTTCATCTGATTGGATTGAGTGGATTTCTCAATCTCAATCACATGGCCTCAGGATTTCCTGAAATTTAGACAACTGCTCCCATTCCCAAAGCATTATGGGAAGGTTTGAGTGGGTACCATTCATTTTATAAATCACTAAGTCTTTGTTGAGCACCCTATATAGGTGGTTTATGAACCACAGCCAAGAGAGAGGGTAAATCTTCTTTAAGATACTTTATTCAGCGTAAGAAGTAAAGAGCAAATTTCTTTGCCTTGGAATTAGTTAAGGTTGGAATTCCCGCTGGGCCTTAGAAACCCACATGTTTAGATTTTGTTACAAGGCTTGAGACCAATATGTAGTCATGGCGTTGATATCTATTTCTAATCCTAGTTCCAGAAGGAAGGAAACGAATTTTGAGAACTTAGTATGTGTCAGGCACTGTGCTAGGTGAAAATGCATGATGGAACCTTTGTAGACAATGATGTGGAAGTTACTGCCCCTTCTCTGTGGACTAAGGCATCTTTAGGGAAGAAAGGAGATATCTTTTCTCCTTAGCAGCTGCTCTGACTGTAGCAATTTTTAAACCAAATTAAATTAGGCTTAGGCCATATCTCTTATCTTAAAACCTGATGTAGTATCTGAATGATTCTGAACCTTATAAGACGTTATAGCTTCTTGTTTATTAAGAAAAGGTTGCTTTTTTTTTTTTTAAACTGGACATCAGTGAACCAATAGTAAATGCTTATTAAGTGCTATGTGTCAAACACTGTACTAAGTGCTGGGGATTCAAGTTCAAGAAAGATAGTTCCTGCCCTCAAAGATCTTACAATCTATTGGGATAAAACAGTACATAAAAGGAGGGTGGGGGGAGGTCCCCACATGGAAAAGTCTGAAAAATCCCAAAGTAGCGCTATCATCAGGTAGGGAAATGAGACCTCTCTTTAAATGGAGGTTTTGGAGTTCATGGCTCCACCCTCCAGTCAGAGGCGCTTTGTGGTTTGATTGTTGATTTGTTTTTTTGTTTTTTTCCTTCAGTCACGTCAGACTCTTTGTGACTCCTCTTGGGGTTTTCTTGACAAAGATCCTGGAGTGGTTTGTCATTTCCTTCTCCAGCTTATTTTATAGATGAGGAAACTGAGGCAAACAGGATTAAATGACTTGGCCAGGGTCACACAGCTAGGAAGTGTCTGGATCTAGATTATCGGACACACCAGGGCTGCTAATACAGAGTGATTATCAAGGCTGGTGGGATCTTGCAGGCTGATAAGGTTTTCCCAAAGATTAGCTTTCAGGGCCATGCTAGAGAAGTCTTTTTCCTCTTGGGTCACATTAAACCCTGTTGTCAAAAGATGGTGACCACTTTGTGCCTATCCCTAGCTAGGCTTTAAATTGTTTTCTATGGTCCATTGTGACCATTTTCTTACTTTCTTTGATATTCAGATATTAGGATAGAGCTAGGTATAGGCCAGGGATTTTTTTTTTAATGAAACTCCGGGTTTCTGTGCATTGTGCCTTTGGTATTGGATATGTTTGGTTCATGCTAGTGGGATGCATTAGAAACTGGATATCAACTGTGGGGTTGTCATGTGGTTAGTGGCAGAAGTTGGTATGTGTGGTTTTGATTTTGCTTATGAAATCTGGTACATGTAAAAGAGTTGACAGTAATAGCTTGGTAGAATTTGATGAAGGTGGTAAAATACCGCCCCCCTCATCCCCCAGGGTCGTAGTGGTATATCTTAGTCATTTAATTGTTTGAATGTTTTGAGTACCTTAGATGACCTGGGAATTGGGCCTGGGGGCTTGGGGACCAGATTCTTTGTTTCTCTTCTGAGCCTTAGAGACTCACCTGTGGTCACATGATATTTCCGTTTTGGTTTACCCATCTGTGGCTGGATATGGAAATACCAACCAAAGAGGGACCACTCGGCTCAGTTTAAGAGTTCGAGCCTTTTAAAATGTCAACTTATAGCACAAACACTGTCCTTTATTCTGGATGCAAAGTATCTCTTCTTAAATTTCTCTTAGAAATTTGGACGATTGCTTAGCTATGAACAGTGTTTCCTTCTTGAAGAGACTAGAAATCAAGCAAGCACATGGAGCTTAAAGCCAGTAATTTCTGGTTCCTAGTTCAAGCTGAACATAATTAGGTAAAACGTCTCAATATTTAATCATGTTCTTTTGCACTTATTTCATCCTGCAACGAAAAGTGAGTTTGTAATTCCAAACTCTGAGCTATGAAAGTTCTTCATGGGAGATTTTGTTAGAAATTGATCTTTAAGCAGCTGATGTCTTGGACCCACGGCAGAGGAAAAAGTCAATTTTCATTTGATAATCTACTTCTTGAAATTCTAAATTGAAGCACATCTCTTACTTGTCCAGAATGGTCATGTAGTATAGATGAGCCTTCTTAGTTTGAAGTTATGTGTTACTAGAGCTTAATTAAAGAACTTTTACCTCATGTGTTTAGTGATAGTACTCATGAAATGAAAGGACCAAATTATTTCAGGCCATATTGTTTTATAGGTGAAGAAACAGGCCTAGAGAATAGCAGTGATTTGCCGTCCCTTGGTCCGCACAGCAGAACCAGGCCTCCTGGTCACAGTCTCTGTGTGACTGGCTTTTCATTTCTTCTATCAAGTGGCTCTTTTTGGAGGGTTGGTGAAAGGACAAAAATGGTTGAATGGAATTTTAGGCTGGACCTAGCCCTTTTTCAGGAGGCTTGGCTCTTGAAGGCGAGGCAGTAGAGGCCACTCTGAGCAAAGGGCTGGAAAGCATGGGCGTTCCCAGATACCTTCAGAGCTCTGGTTTCAGGAAGTCCAACGATGACCCAGTTCTCCCAAGGGTTCTTTTTAAGGTGTGTCATTTGCCAGCTGAGAGCCATTGACCTGGGACCCTCATGACCATGTCTCCACACTTGAACCTGCAGGTGCTGAACCCTCCTAGGTGTTGGGAACCTTTGGAAGCCTGACTTGTGCCAGGAGAGATTATTTTCTTCTGAAATTAAGTTCATTTTCATTCAAATTCCAAGTATGTCTCCATTGGTGTAAATGAAAAAAACAAACAAACAAATAAACATGCCGTAATTCTGGAGGAAGCTGCCCTGGCATTTGGGATGCCTGGACCCCCTCCCGGGAGTGTCCTGGCATCTGGGGGCAGTGCTGGATGGTCAGTGGTCCTGCGACAAGAGTGTACTTTGTGATGGACCTTTTTTTTACTCATGGAACCGCTTGCTAGTATCCCAAAGGAAACTCTGCCAAGCTGACTTCTCTGTGCCTGTCAGAATTCATTCTTAGCCAGAGCCCAGCCTGCCACCCAGCTTTGAGGGCCTCGTTCCTGAACCTGTACTGTGTCTTTTTACCTGTAGGTGCCTTCTATGAGTTGTTTCCTTGGTAGAAGGTAGACC